GCCACTGAGTTCATGTCAGAGACAGTCCCTGTTACCATTACTAGGAAACCCACTTGGAGACTGAGCTGCCATAGCCTACATCTGTGTAGCAGTTCTAGGTTATCTCCATGAATGGTCCTTGGTTGGAGTATCAGTCTCCAAAAAGACTCCTGGACCCAGATATTTTGGTTTGGTTGCTCTCCTTGTGGCACTCCTGTTCTCTCCATGTCTTTCATCTCCCTTTTCTTTCATAAGATTCCCTGCACTTTGCCCAAATTTTGACTATGAGCCTCAGCATCTGGTTTGATACCCTGCTGGGTAGAGTCTTTCAGAGGCCCTCTGTGATAGGCTCCTGTTCTGTTCCCTGTTTTCTCCTTCTTCTGATGTCTATCCCATTTAACTTTCTGAATGAGGATTGATCATCTTACCCAGTGTACTGGTTCTGGGTGATTTCAACATTCCACTCTCACCAAGGGACAGATCATCTAGACAGAAACTAACTAGGGAAATAATGACACTTACAGAGTTCCTAAATCAAATGGATCTACAGAACTTTTCACCCAAACTCAAAATAGTATAGATTTGTATTTTTTGAGCATTTTTCCAAAAGCCTTATATTTTCATCACTTTTGCTATTTAAAATTGACAAGTTGGCCCATATATGTAACGTCAGTACTGGCATCTTTTGGCCAAGCATAAAATTTAAATTAGCAACAGTAATCTTCTTTCTGTGGAAATTTCTAATTTCTTTAATTCTTCTTATAGTCTGGGAGGAAAAACATATTTTAGAACTGTCTATCTTTTTAAAGGCCATGTTGTTTCTGCTCCTTTGATGCTTCAAAAAGTCACTATTCGGAAATGAGGGGGTTTTTGTTGTTTTGTTTTGTTTTGTTTTTGATATGAAGTATGCTAGCACTAACTTTTATAATAGAATCTTAACTCTATTTTAAACAATTTTTGTGAGAAGACAGAAATGTTTTTAATTTCATTCTTTTTATCCTTCTCATAAAGTCCTTGTTACGCACCAAATTTAGCAGTTTGATTTTGCATACATTGACTTCTCAAATTATTTCTTGAGAGCTTTCAGAAATCCTCTACAAAATTAAACACACTATTTGCCTTAATAAAACTAAAATAATCTTTCTACTTTTATTGATCACTCTTCCTTCATCTATTATTGCTTATTTTTTGGGGGGTCTGCTTACTTTTGAGATGTGGTAGAGGCCATACCATCTTTAAAACATGCTAGATAAAGAACATGGCTTAACAAGTGTCTGTATTCTAGGATTTTCTGGACATTCCTATATGGTTTCTTTCATCACAGTAAACAGACAACTATGCTCTCTAAGAGAGTCAAACCGATGAAAAAAGGGGGTCACTTTGAGATAGCTAAATCTTCCTTAGGGAATTTTTTTTCATTTTTGGCATCTCTGGAAGTAATTATGTCTTGATAAGAAATCTCAGAATATGTGACTAGCATCTTGATTTGAATTTGGATTATTAAATATTAGACATAATGAGAAAATTAGAGTTAGGAACTACAGACTTGCTAGGTTAATATATTTGCTTATAGTTTCATTGAAAGACAAGCACTTAGAAGTATAATTATACATAATCTTAGCTATCTTTTGACAGCCATTGTTTCTCTACCAAAGTGTGAAATCCAATTACCTTCCACTAAATAAACCCTCTCATATAACCAGAACTAAACTCATGCAACAAAAATGTGGCTTTCATCCAGATTATTCCTTTGACCCTTCATTATAACTTTCTACTGAGACTAGTAGGACAGGCTTATATTCTCAACTTTTTCAGAGGCTGAGGCAGGAAAATGGCAAGTTTGAGGCCTGTCTGTAAGATGTATCAAGATCTTGTCTATAAACAAACAAACCAACTTTGGGTGTGATTGAATGTAGTAAATACACATGAAACCTCAGTACCCCTAAGTGGCAGAAAATTTAACAACAAAAGCAAAAGCGAAAGACATTTATTCCCTAAAGGTAACCGTATATAGATCTCTCATGTGATAAGAGCTGTATCTTACATCTAAGCTTTATGTTTCTTATATCCAACAATATCAGTCTTTTGTTGTTCCAATATTTGTTGATTTATCTGGAGTTAAACAGCAGTTATCCTAAACCAGCTGTATTCCTGTTATGCCGAATCGCGATACCCCAAAAGACCACCACCAGGAGTTGAGGCCATTGCAAAACACACGAGGATCTTATTATTACAAATTATTACAAGCTGCAGCTTAGGCTTATACCCCCACCGAGGAAGCGGTGAGAGCCCGAAAGCCTCGTGCTCAGGTTAGTTGGGTGATTTAAAGATTCCGTTCCCTCCCAGCGCACCCAAAGTAGGGGGGATTCCTGCCTAGCAAGCATCTATTGGTTGAAATGCAAAAGGGATGTTGCATTTTTTAAATGATTGGCTATAGGAAGGTCCCCAAACCATTAATGATATGGTGTCCCTCCCTAAGGGGATAGGCCAGTTTCCTAACAATTTTATCTCTAGTGGGCAGGAAAAGAATTCAGTAAGGCTAGTTCTTCCTCTCAGGGCATTAAGGCTGGACATATGTCCATTTGGCTGGCCTTAGTTCAGGCTTTTAAACTTTAAAATAATAGCCACATTTTTTTTTTAATCCTTTGGTCTCTCATACCCAAATCACCACACAGAGACTGGGATTTATTTAATTAACCTAGAGCATAATGCTGGGCAATGATAACTCCATCCTAAACCTCCAGGCCCATATAGTTTCCTGCCATCAGAATTCACCCATTATACTTGCTTTTAGTTATATCATAGATCCGGTTCATCTCTCCTCGTGGTTCCAAGACCTTTCCTGCCCGATCTTTTCCCCTCCTCTTCCCACTCGCTTCCTTCTACTCCCCTCCAGACCAGAATGTCCTGCCCTGTTCTCTCCATTGCACAACATTGGCTGGTCATTTAATTGAAAATACAGAGAAAAAATTGTGGCACGTTTACACAAACTTGAGAAAGGTGATGCTTAGAATAAACATCACAATGCAATGTCCAGATTGAAGCCAGATAGTGGGGTAGAGAAATCAGTATTTGAATAAACAAAGGTAAATTGTAAACATTCCAGAAGAACGTTATTCCAACAGTCTGTATTTATTGTTAATTTATTTATGACCAGATAGTATTTCATTCAGTCATCTACAACTTATATTAACTGAGGCGGACGCATGGACACTACTTTCTTTGTTTTCCCTATAAATTTCCTTTGGTGATACACATATGTATTTCTTGGAGCTTAGTTCCAGATCCAACACTCTTTTCTTGCCTCCACAGACAATACACACGGTGTACATACATACATACATGTACGCCAAACATTCATACACATAAAATGAAATTAAAGGAATGTTTTAAAACATGATTTGATATCTCTGCAGATGAACCTGTCTGTATTTTTTGGTGAAATGTTTTTGTTATTATTCGGTTCTGTTTTATGCTCAAGCTTGGCTATTTTTCTTTCTTTATTCATCAGTAACAAAATCCAATAGAACCCCAAGTTCCAGAGTCTCTTTCTTACTTATTCTAGAGCCAAAAGCATCCAGGGTGTGTAAAACTAGATCCAAATGACTAAGCAGATTTAAAAAAAAAAATGGTTCAGCTAAATTCTCCCTTACCGGACTATTTTGAAATAAGAAAGTAAACGCAGAGAAGAACAGCATCCTCACCCAGAGCCTTGGTGACATTCACCAGTCACCAAGCTCTGCAGAAAAGAGGAGATTTCTATGGAAATGATAATGACCCTCCTGCGAGTATGCAGAGCTCATAAAACCAGAAGAGTTTGTAAAGGTCAGCAAGCAGGGATGGTTTTCTCCTGGGGAAACATTTCTAAATAGCCCTGAGGAGAAAGATAGGGAGGGAGGAAAAGAAAAAAAAAAGTTGAACTTGAAGAAAGTAAAATGTGCAAACTGAACAGTTTCTGGATTATCATTTAATTATAGCCATCAATCACCTGGCAGCCGCTTCTCCCAGTACCCCAGAAATCCCATCTAAAGCCATATGATCCAACCAGTGGAGAATACACAGCCCATTAACAACCCTAAGGATGGGGAACAATATGGAAGATATTAGCCTGAACAGGATTTTAGGGAACGAACTAAAATTAGAACAGTTGAGTCCCTCTTGCCTCAGACAGAGTCTCAGTACATGCAAGAGTAGAGCTCCTTTTTAATTAATAAGATAAGTACTGCCTCCTCCTCTTCTCCTAGGCTGGACGTGAAGGGATGATTGGTTTCAAAGGGCTTCACTTTCTAGATGCTCTTATTTCAGTCTTTATTGTCCCTGATGTTGGAAACTGACCTTCACTTAGTCATTTTATGAATGGAAATTTATAGTCTCTTTAAATGAGGACCTTTTAAAGTTGAGCGTTTAGATACACATTTGTTCCATTAATTGGTACCAGGGGATGCCAACAAATGTCTTCTGGATAACTGTTATTTATAAGGTTTAAAGTGTTTTAATTTCTTTTTTTTTTAAGGATTCATATTTCCTTGCTCTAAATTCTGTAGCTTTTTAACGAATTAGATGACTTTAGTCTTTTAAGCTCCAATGTGTTGAGAAAAGAGAAAAGTGTTTCAACCATGGTAATCCCCCCTGCCATGCTGTATTTATCTCCCACTAGGTACCCAAATGCTTCCTCCTCTTCTCAGGCAGATAATTGCAGTGGGGTTGCAACCGGAGAGAAAACTGAGCTGGTGCTAAGCAGTGAATATAAAAAGAAGTGTTGCCTCGTAGAAGTAAATAGAATCTGAGACTATAATCTCTGCCCTCATTTATTTCTGAAACCATAACTACCCAGAGAGATGCTTTATATGCATATGGAAACCTGCCTGCCATTGTGCGTGGTTTTGAACTTGTCTTAGGTTCTATGCATCCTCTGATTTCAGTCTGCTGACTGTTTTTTTTCTAAACATAGATTGTCTCACCTTCAAGATCCTTCATGTTTTTTTAATATAATATTGTTTCATTTCCTGTTTCCCCAACAGAGTTCGTCAGGCGATTTAATGATCAGAAACATTCAACTGAAGCACAGTGGGAAGTATGTGTGTATGGTGCAGACTGGGGTGGACAGCGTTTCATCTGCAGCTGAGCTCATAGTGAGAGGTAAGCAGCAATGTCTCCTATGTTGTCTAACAATGCCTTCCGCGAGTATTCGTTGCCGGAAAAAAAGCCATATAGGGATACCATACAAGAATATCCCTGACACGCATAAGCCAGAAGAGATGACAATACAAATGTGTTAATTTAAAGGAATGAAAACCTCAATTCTGCCCTTCAAATAGGTCTTGCTGTAATTGGCATTCCACTGCTGCTGCCAAGCCAATGTGTTTTTGAGCATGTCATTAATTCAGGAAATGTATTTGATGGGAGAGAGAATGTGGTTGCATGTGTGTCTGCCCCAAAAGAATAGGCACCATCCATAGTGATGGGAAAGCTCACTAACCCTGCTTGTTATTTAGGCTACTGATTCACTGCTAGGATAAAAAAAAAATGTCCAAAGTACATCACAGAATAAAACACACTGAGGTAGCAAACCAAGATGTGTTTCACAGGACAGTATCCCACCCAAAGCAGAGTACACTGAAGCTGGAAGGGTGCAGAAGATGCTGAACTTAGAAAGGCGCAGGGATAGTGCTGAATAGGGCCTCAGTAAGTAGGCACCAGCTGTAGCCACACAGTGCTGTGAATCACGGCTTCCTCGGAGATCTCTTATCTAACAATGGGAACATGCCAAACGTGGCAGTTTTACTGCTGGCTAAGTGCCCTCTTCCCTTGGGTGCTTTTGAAAATGGGATCAGTTGGAGGTATTAACGTGATGAGGTCATCCTGTTTGCTTTGGCAGAAGAGGATGACATGTATGAGATGCTCTTTGCGTTCTTGCATCTTTTAGGTTCACCTGGACCACCAGAAAACGTGAAGGTAGACGAAATTACAGATACAACAGCCCAGCTGTCTTGGACAGAAGGCACAGACAGCCACAGCCCAGTTATATCCTATGCAGTCCAAGCTAGGACACCTTTCTCCGTGGGCTGGCAAACTGTCACGACAGGTAAAGTGGATGGGAGAAGCAGAGGGCAGCTGTTTAGATAAATGTGTGTCAGCTGAGCACTAGAGCAAGTAGGCTCTTAACCTTCTGAACTGTTCCTCTGTAGTACCTGAGGTCATTGATGGCAAGACACATACAGCTACTGTCGTGGAGTTAAACCCATGGGTGGAATATGAATTTCGGGTTGTAGCCAGTAACAAAATCGGAGGTGGAGAACCCAGTTTACCCTCAGAAAAAGTAAGGACTGAAGAGGCAGGTTAGTGCTTTTGTTTTCTGAGTAATGGGTTAATAGATTTACCTGGGTGTATGTTTCTATTAGTTCTGGTCTCCCGGCCACCAGGAGATCTGTCTCAATGATCCATTGTCACACTGATATGACCTTTCTAATGGCAAACTTTGCCATATGGCATTTATCAAAAGAAGCATGTAAGAGAGTCTGATGTAGTGTGACATTTCCGAGTGTGCAGTCAGTTACAGATGATCATTAGTGTGTGTTGAGTGACTATGTTTTTGTCACTTAAGGTTATAATTACTATCTGACATAGTTACCCATTAGCAGAAGAAACACTGTTTTCATTTCTAAGGAGCACTGACAAATTGGTCTGATAATACCACTGGTAGCTATGCTGCTACAAAAAAAACTCATTCTTCTATCACACTCAGCAAATGCACGTAAGCAGCACATGAGTCGTGTATTATGGCCCCATAAGTGTTAGATTAAGAAAGCATTGTTTTCAGAACTTAAAGGAGGCAGCTAGCAATGCGCCACAAAGCTACTTTCATAATTTTGAAAAATATGCTGTCGTCAAAATTCCAAGTTAGTAGGCAAACCAGCCATTTTTAAAAAAAAAAAAAAGAAGCAGCTGGGGGGTCGGGAGGACATCAAGACTTTCCTTTCCAGAACAAATGACATCAATTAAAATGAGGCCCAGGATACAGCAGACTGTCACCTTAGGCCCTAAGCCAAAGGAGACGTGGAATATGTGTGCACAATTTTAATAATGCCCTTTTCCTCAGGACAGCACACTTAATGTTTGTGCCAGGTATTGTGTGGAACACATAGTTCTGTGCTGTTTCTTGCCATCTTCATTTCTTCACACAATGTGTATTTAGGGCCCATCTGATACGCATCCAGCAAATACAGCTGTGCGCATTACCAAGGCCCTCCATAGAATTTATATTCTAGTTTCATTTTAGGATTTACCAACCAAAAGGTTCTCAGCGTGAGTGAGAAAGCTCATGTCTGTAGGGATTTTATCAAGAACACTTCCTCTCAGAACCTGTGAGTTTCAGTCTGTGACCCTCTTACCCAGCGCCTGTGCCATGCTGAGGCTAAGTTCTCAATCTGGAAAAATCTTTGATTCCCTGTCAGTCCTGGGAAATCACCTTTTCTCATATTTCTGTCATCCTAATGGCAAAGTAGCTTTCATTTGGGTTATATTTTTTTCTTACTATTTCATGTAAATAATATAATCTGGTGACTTTATAAAAATATTTTATAAATGCATGTGAATATAATTTTGATTACCTTACTGGTGACATATATGTATCTTCATGATGTGTTGATAGTGTATAAACGCTATTGCAAATAAGTAAATGGGTCTCTTTTTAGATATTACTGTATAAAAGTAGGGTTTTTGTCTCTATGTCTCTGACCCACACAGCTCCAGAAGTGGCACCTTCTGAGGTCAGTGGAGGAGGTGGAAGCCGATCCGAACTAGTGATAACCTGGGATGTAAGTGTCTGAGCCACATCTTTCCCACCAGGGTATTTCTCTCCATTCAGTCATAACAGCCTCCAGCAATGTACTGGTGGTGGTAGGGGTTGGCAGTGATGATGGTGGTGGTGGTGATGGTGGTGATGGTGGTGATGGTGGTGATGGTGGTGATGGTGATGGTGGTGCTGATGATGGTGATGGTGGTGGTGGTGACAGTGGTGGTGGTGGTTATGGTGGTGGTGACAGTGGTGATGTGGTGGTGATGGTGGTGATGATGGTGATAGTGATGATGATGGTGGTGATGGTGATTGTGGTGGTGGTGATTGTGGTAATGGTGGTGGTGATGGTGGTGGTGATGCTCATATTGGCGCTGGGTTTAGTGACATTTTTGCTGGTATTAGTGACAGCAGTGGTGTTGCCAAGTGATGCTGATGGTGATAACACTAGCGTTGTTGCTAATTTTAGCGTTCTGTTGCTGTACTAGTGTTTTCACAGAAGGAAGTGTGAAGGTGTTGATCATGTTGCTGAAGGCGCAACGGTTGCTGTTCTGGATGACACTGATGATGCTAGTGTTAGGGGTATTGTTGGATCTGGTGCTGGTAACAGTACAACAACCTGGTGCAGCCACTGATGTTGGCAACGGTGCTGTTGGTTCTGTTAGTACGATGGGTTCATAGTGTCTATGCCGGTGGTGGTATTAGTGGAAGTGTTGACCCTGGTTCTCCTGTTGATTTTAGTGATTCTCGTGGTACTGCTACTGATGTTGGTAGTGATGGTATGTTGGTGTCACTGGTCATAGCCATAGCACTGGACGTTCCATGTAGCAGCGTCGATAGTGCTGATTGTGACGGTGGTATTAATGATGGAGACAGTGATGACAAAGTTGATGACAACGCTGACAATTGTGCTAGGTATTCTTGAGGGTGCTTCTGGTGGCTCTGGCAGTATCGCTGGTCATGTTGGTAGTACTGACAGCACTGGTAATTCTGGTACTGGTGTAGTAACAGTAGCCTTGTTACTGTAACAGCATTGATGATAGGACTGGTGGTCATACTGAGCTAGAGATATGCTAGTGGCAGTGCTGATAAAATTAGTGGCCCCAGTATTTGTGGTGATAGAATGATGATTCTGTAGGCAATCTAAATGATGCTATTTCTGGTAGTGGTATTCTTGGCGCTAATGTTGCTGGTACTGATGTTGATTCTTAGTGATACCAATTCCCGTGATGGTACTTGTGGAACTAGTGGGTACCTCTAGTTGTCTAAGTCACAGTGCTCCCAATGTTGATTCTGTTGGTGGTGTAAGTGGTGGTCGTGGTGGTGCTTATACCACCAATATTGCTGGAGATGTGGATGATGCTAATAGCAATACTGGTGATGCTGCTCACAGTGGCTTGGTTTTTGGTGTTACTAGTGGTTCTGGTATAACTAGCATTGTGGTCTGTAGTACGGTTGGTTCTGGTAGAACTATCTGAGCTTATTCTAATGGGTTGAGTGGTGGTGTTTCTGTCAGGAGTGGTGCTGGTACTGGTGTTTCTGTAGAGCTAGTGGCACTGGTGATAGCAGGATCTGGGAGCATTGATGAGGGTCATACAGGGTGCTTCTACTGGTAGTGCTGGTAGTGATTGTATATACCTGGAAGAATACTGCTAGTTCTAGTAGTCCTGGCACTAATGGAGATGTGATGCTGGTGCTGAATGTTGGAGGAACTCCCTTGGTAGTTACACAGGTAATGTTGGTGTGGTTGGTAGTGGTTGGGTGGTGCTCATAACTCTGGTGGTGCTGAAGCTGGTCCATCATGTTATAGCAAGTAGTGGTACTGCTAGTCCTAGTGGCCTTGACACCAGTGGGGCTGTTCCTCTCCCTGCTGCATTCTGTACTAATCATTTTTCTGCTTATTTGCATATACCTTTTTCATTCCATCCTTCTAGTGTGGTACCAGTGAAAGTATACAGGAAAGGACATAATAAGTAGTTTGTTTGATCAAAATCACTTGGCTCTTGAACATACTACTGAAAACCAGGCCTTAACAATTGACTCTTGTTCACTCATAATTTTTTATGTAGCCCTGTGGGTCCTAATAATGTCACACAAACCACAGTGTGCTTGAGCGTCTAGTATCTTCTGGGCTATTCTCTTAGCCTTAGCTTCATGCCAAAACTAGGAAATACTATAACAATGAATTTAACATTAAAAGACACTAGAGCTAAATTATCTGTAATTTTCAGATACTGATTAACAAATAAAATGCCATTTTCCCCATAGTGGGGTATAAGTAGAATTTTGTACTTAATCACATGCAGTTATGAATGTAGTGCATTGTAATAATTTCCTTTTTTTCTCTAAGTTTTTATACTGAGTCTTACTATCCAAGTATAAACTTTTCTGTAAGATTAGCATTTATGAATTTGATTGTTTTTATTTGTCTTAAAATAACAGGTGTGCAGTGTGCTTGAATGAAAGTTGCTGTTATTAGAAACTCAGAGTTGGACCATTTGATATTCTAATATCTCAATAATCAAAAAGGATGCAAGTGCATTGTCTGGATGCCTGTGAATGAATGATGTATGCCTGTTTAAAAGCAGCTCACCAGGCTGTACATGATGCTTTTCTCATTTTTAGAATACCTTTGCTTAATTCCATCTAGCTCTTATTTAATGACTTGCAAGTCCACCAGTATTTCCATTGTTTTTGCCCCAATCTTATGTGTGAGGGTGATTTAATATGTCTTTGTAGCCAGTTCCTGAAGAACTACAGAATGGTGGAGGTTTTGGATACGTGGTTGCTTTCCGCCCACTTGGGGTTACCACCTGGATCCAGACAGTGGTGACATCCCCAGATAACCCGAGATACGTCTTTAGGAATGAAAGCATCATGCCTTTTTCACCATATGAAGTTAAAGTGGGTGTTTACAACAACAAAGGTGAAGGGCCCTTTAGCCCAGTGACAACAGTGTTCTCTGCAGAGGAAGGTATGGAAAACTACAAAGGATCAGTTTCAATCTAATAGTCTTAAAAGTTCTTTGTGACTTATATATATATAAGTATATATATATATATATATATATATATATATATATATATGTATGTATATATGCACATATGTTATATGTATATATAATTTTTTCAAAAGAACAATCATCAGCCTGTTGTTAGATTACTGATATGGGTCATAAAGATCAATTATACTTTACTAGAAATGTTAAGACTCATGGAATGATTACAGAGCAAAATGATCAGTTAAAACTGCTCATGAGGCACTCCCTTCCTGAATTTCATCTTGTGAGCCATGGGATATTGTCACCTTCTGAAGCTCATTTTTCTTCTTGCTGTAAAAATTAAGCAACCCTTAAAACTATCCTGGCCCAGAGTTGTAAGCAGTGTTTCCTATGGCCTCAGCAAAGGACAGGAACATGATGGATAATGAGAACCAGGAGTTTGACATTTACGAGATGTAGAGTGTGTCTCTTTGAAGGATGACCCCAGCTGTTATAGACACTTATGTTCACTTGGAACCTGCTCAGTCATTCTGTCTTTCTTGTATACCTACTCAAGAAATCGAAACATAGTATTTTCTTTCAAGCCCTCTTGAGAAAATGATAATGAAGTTAGGAGGATCAAGCGGAACTGCCATTTGAGATACCGACAACTGAATGTTAGCCCTGTTACCAAGTTCCAACTCATAAGAAAGGTGGAAGCATCCATGGTATATGAAGTGCTTCCCATCTGCCAGGCATTGACTTCAATTTTCAAATAATGGTTGAAGCATAGGGTGAATTATTAGTCTCCATTTACAAATGAGAAAATGGAAGCTTGATGAAAGATAATGAATTTGTTAAAATATATGTAGCAAATGGAAAATAAAACAATTTCATCTTGGGGAGTTTGGCACTAACCATTCTGAACTTATGAACTATAAGAGCATGTTGTCTCCCCTAACTTTCAGACCTGATAGTAAATTATAAAACATGGCTCAAAGATGACAATTCCAATATAGTTATTTTACTGAGACTCCCTACCTCATCTTATGTTTTCATTTTCTATTATTGGGGAAGAATAAAAATAGTTATAAGATTCTTTATTAGAGAGAGTCTAATATCTATAGCTAGCCTCATCCTCTAGAAACTACCAGACTTATAAGGGCAGACCAGGGTTTTGGGCCTGATTAACCAGTGTCTTTAGACACTGCCTACCTGCCTACCTGTGCATCTAAGACCTGAGTGTTGGTGACAGAAGACAGAGACAACCACAGCTTTCTGCTTATTCTTGCCTTGCTCATTTCCTATCTGCTGAAACTGTTATTGTCTCACTTGTAACACAGTCAAAGGGCTTTCCAGTAAAACAACAAAAAAAAAAATTCTAGTTTGCGTAAGAAAAGGCAAGATCTATGCTAGAAATATGCTATAGCACCTCAGTGAGCCAAAGCAAAATCTGATCAGTATACCTCATAGACAACACAAACAGATGGGCTCAGAAAATGATCTGATACTATAGCCTGCCTGCGCTGGATTGGCTCTAAGTGCTGCTGGTGTCTCTGCCCCAACCTTGAGAGTTTAGGGATAGAGAACCTACTGTGCCCATCTTTCACCCCTGCTTCTGTTTCTCCCTCACAAAGCCACAGCCAAAGATCAGGACCATTTTAATACAGAAATGGATGTTAGAAAGGATAAATTTCTGTTAATAACCAGTATCATGAGAAAGGAGAATCTCTGTGAGCCCTATAAAACTCAAGAATATTTGTTACAAAGAGGATTTCCTATGTAATAACATGGGCAAGTCTACCCATTTCTTTGACAGTGTTTGTAAGCTATTATTTTAAGTCTCTGATTCCTTTGGACCTAAACTAAAAGAGACACTCACTCAGTACTTTTTAGTGAATGACATTGACTTGACATTGGCCTTTTGGGGTATTAGAAGATGTCAGTAGCACTTGCAGGTAAAGAAGTTCCTGAGCAGCTGCTTTGAGATGAAGGGGAGAGAAACAAAGACAGAAATTTATAAACAAAATGAAGAAACGAAGACACTAAGAAATAATTCCAAGGGATGAAAATATAGGTTGCTATGGCAATTAGGCAATGAAAACCTAATGACTATGATGTTACCTTTTCCTTAGCAGAAGAGTAGCATCTCATCTATATTTTCAGGACATGGTAAATAGTTTCAAATACTTTTGCAGAATACTATAAGATCTTCACCTGGTCAGTGTTTTTACTATTATTATTTAAAGAGTTTCGACAAGGTATGGTGGTACATTCCTGCAGCTACAGTTCTCTCCGATGAAGGCAGGATGATTTTTGTCAGTTCTAGGCCTGCCTAGAACACATGAAAGAGTGCCAGGCCAGCTAGGACTACATGGAAATACTCTGTTTCAAAAACTTATAGTAAAAATTGAAAAAAAAATATATAATTTCAGATGCTTTGCCAATTAATTGCCAACATTATCATTGTATCCCACTTTCTGTTTCTGAACAGAGCCTACAGTAGCCCCATCCCACATCTCTGCCCATAGCCTGTCTTCTTCAGAAATCGAGGTTTCATGGAATACAATTCCCTGGAAGTTGAGCAATGGACATTTGCTTGGCTATGAGGTAACTGTTTTATAATTAATGTGTGTTTACATATTGCTACTACTTTGTTTAACTTCAAATTTTTCTTAACATCAACATTTTAGACAAATACTGTCTTTACCTTAAATGTTCTTACTGGCAGACACATTGTACCATCTGATTATTCAACTCTGCCAGGTAGTTGGAAATAACCGGTTGCATGGAGAAGATTCATTAAATAAATATGAGGGAAAGTCATGTAATCCAAATATTTTATGTGGGCTTGCTAAAATAGTAAGAGTGAGATTGAACTGCACTATAAAGTTTATATAAATTATTTTGTCATCTGGAAAGCATATTCTCCCATACCCTTTTGTTGACCTATTTTCCTGGTATTCTTGCTACATTGTGAGATTCTATTATAGAGCTTTTAGCTTTCTGTAACATAACTCTCACTTGCAATAACCTCTGTATTTGGTGATATAAGAAAAATATTTAAAAAGAGGATATCTCAAGAACAAATAAAACAAATATCAAAATAAGTCAGCAATCATACAAATGTTTGAGTGGATAAGTGCATGCCATTTTGGTAGAGTCAGCAATGGTAGGAAAGCTTAACCAGGAAATGAAAGAAAGGGTAAATGAACATAGAAGGAACATAAACATTTCCCACTGGGAATGGATGATGAGATGTCACTAAAGGAGATCCACAGAAGAGGGGTGACTTCAGATGGTACAGTAGGGCCATCTCATACATGGTGTTTAATAAAAGGAAGACTCAATATTTATTAAAGAGCAGTGGAGCTAAGAACTGGAAAAATGAAAAAAGTGCTAAGAATTATGTAGCAACATTATTGTAGGAGTGACAGTTATGATTTCAGCTCCACCCACATATGTCTTCTTAGGAAACCCTTATCTTAGACAGGGCTCCTAATTGCTGTGATAAAACAACATGACAAAAAGCAACTTGGTGAGGAAAGGGTTTATTTCAGCTGACAACTCTCAAACCCTGTTTGTCTTTCTCCTTCTGGGATATTTCACTCAGGGAATAGTTTCAAGCAGACACTAAGTCCTAAGTTTTCTTTCTTAAAGGGAGCCTGAAGAGATTCAGGAAGAGTTGAGTTACCTGACACCTACTTGCCTTCCTAGCATTCTTCCCAGGGTGTAAGAAATGTCAGTGGATTGCTCTGTGTGTCTTGGAGGGTTTTGAGATAGAGAATATGGAAAATTTGTGGTCTTAGTAGGAAACATTGTTTTAAAATTTCCTGGAAGTGCCTAGATTCGTGGCAAGACCACAGAAGGGAGCACCTGTATTGACACTAATCAGTGACTTCCCATTCACCAAGTATAGCTCTGCACTGATACAACTAAACTGGTAAAATCAAATTCCATAAAAAATTACTTGTCCTCACTTTGGAAAGGGAACTCCAGGAGGACTGTCATTGAAACTCCCACTAGATGAGCAGGACAAAGGATTCAGTTTTTTTTAATCAAAACTAGTTAAAGAAAATCAACATGTCTACTTGACACTCTTTACTTAAGGAAAAGAGATGCATGCCAACCTTACATGATTTTGCCCTTACAAACAAAATGCAGGATTGTGAGTTCTAACAAGGCTGTACCTTGTGAAACATTTAAATAAGTAAATGAGTACAACATACTGGACTTGTGGGCCTATAAAACATCTTGAGTGTTGGCTGTTGGGAATTGTTAGCACATGTTTGATTCACGTGTTGCTTATGTATGTGTGTTTGCATGCACAAGTGTTTGTGGACACCTAAAGTTGATGCTGAGTGTCTTCCTCTATCTCTTTTCACATTATATTTTTGAGACAGGATTTCTCACTTAACCTGCAGTTCATCAGTTCAGAAAGACTAGCTGGCCAGTGAACACCAGGTATCTACCCATTTCTGCCTCCCTAACATGGGGGTTTAGGCACACAAGTGAATTGGAGAAATGACAGGCACCAGAGCTGCACCATGATGCTTTGGATTCTGGGGATTCAACTAAGTCAGGGACGTGAGCCCTTTACTGAGCATGCCATGTCCCCAGCCCTGATCTTTTTCTTAAAATATATAAATTTAGCTGTTGAAAAGTCATTTAGAAAAGGACATTTTATTGAAAGTGGATTTTATATATTAAAAAAATTCAAAGAACCTAGCGGTAGCTGCCACCATATCTTGTAGTGTTCATACCATTTTCATGCATTCACATCTTCCTGCATGAGAGAACTTCACTTAATCGCTTACTCCCATATCCCAAGTTCTTAAGTTAGTATACAAAAAGTTGGTTAAATTAATATAGTTTGGACTTTGCTGTTTGGGGTGTGAGCTTCAGTACATTCATAACACTTTCCAAAGTTCACTTAAAATAGAGATAATAGTAGCCAATAAGTCACAGCTTTAGTTGAGGATTAAATGAAAGAAAGCAGCATTTGTCAAAATGGCCCAAGGACACTGGCAACATTCCACATTCTGTTTTGAACATTGGCATTTGGATAAGATTTTACTGAGAGACAGAGACAGACAGAAAGACAGCGAGAAAGAGAGGGACAGAGACACAGAGACACAGAGAGAGAGAACTAAGGAAATAAAATGAGTCTACTGTCATCAAGTGTGTAACCCCAACTGTGTTATACCTATTACTGAGATGGGCAGGCAGGGGACAAAGGATTTTAGTCAGTTAATGAGACTTTCTATATAAACCTTTGGGTTGAGATGTATTTGCTTTTTGACTATTTTTGCAAAAAGTACCAAACGGTATATTCAAATGTAGTACGCAGTGTATGAAAAAGAAGGAATGATTTAAAATGTTTCCACGAGTATATGGAGTATGTGGCACAAGGAAAGAGCAAATGGGCTAAAAGATCCAAGAACTAATTGGGGAAATGTAAAGAATTAATGTATGTAATTGTAGCTTGATAAAAGTATACCCTTTCTTAGTCTCAGAAATTATTTCGAAATTAATCTGGAAGGATAAATGACTTAGCAGAGTAATTAATTATCAGCCATGTAGCTGAGTTTGTGGGTTGCAGTTCCCCAGGTTTGGCTTTGAACTTGTTAATAGCTCCTGCCTCTCTCTCATCTCAGTAAGGGCTGATCACAGACGTGTGGCAAGCTGTGCACACATCTTCATTAGCATCTAGACTAATTTCCTTTCTGATTTGACCAAGCATTAGTTGAGAAGCTTGTTTCCCTGGGCTCCAATTTATTTCATCTGTTAAGCGGTTACACTTGGGCTCATATCTTTCCTGGTGCCCTTTGGAACAAGGAAAAGAAAGGAAGGCATGATAAAGAAGACACAGAAGCCTTAAGGGATGTGAAGATTGGGCGCTTGAAAAGAACACACAGTTCTTACATGGAGCATACTGACAACTTCTTTTCTTCTGCTTAGAGACAGTTTAATTTCTAATATATGTATATGTTATATATTAGAACACACATGTATATCGACAATATCATTTTATAGTGTATATTGATCACTCTCACCTTCCACCTTCTTTTGTCTCCCTCCCACCCCTATCAACCCCATCCTCCTCACTATAAATCCCTTTTCCACATCCTGTCTGCTTACTTTTGTGACCTACTGAGTTTAACTGTGGCCGTCTGTGCAATCATGCATGTGAACTATTCATTGCAGGCTGAGTGGTCTACCAATGAGGACTGTCCCTTTTGTGGTTCAGGGAGGAGTAACAGACACGCGTGCTTCTCGCCATCCTCGCCATCCGTGGCTGACTGTACAGGCCCACTGCAGATAACTGCAGCTACTGTCAGTCCATGGTTCCAATGGCTATGTTAAGAACTGAACACTCCACGCTCACGTATCCTTAGCTGTTAGAATAGCCAGGAATCCCTACATTCACCATGTTCCACTGCAAAGGGTGATTTCTCTGATCAAGGCTGAGAGTAATATATTTCTGTATGGGTATGGGTATAAGACAATCTCCTTGATCATGTGCAGCTGCCTTCAGGGGCCACATCCTGAAAATTAACTCTCCAACCCACAACAGTCCTCATTTATCAATGGGTCCTGAGCCCCACCCACTCCCATCCATGCTGCATTGAGCTTCTGCAGGTTGTGCATCCTGACACAGCTTCGGTCAGTTCATACCATTCATCCTAACTCACTATATTCATTGGTGTGTGCATGGAGAATTAGAAGAAAGGATTTCACAACATAGAAGAAATAAGGAAATGATCATTACACTGGTTTGAGCAATGCATGATATATAAAAAAGCTAAATACCACAATACATGACATAAATATTGTCTTAGTTTTCTCTTCTGTTGCTGTGATTAAAATACCTCAACAAAAGCAACTCTAAGGTGAGAAGGTTTGTTTCAGCTTAGAGTTTGGGGTGATAGTCCACTCTGGCAGAAAAACCAGAGCAGTTAATCATATTATGTCCACAGTAAGGAGCAGAGAGCAATGGAAATGCGTTACCGCTCAGTTTCCCATCTCTCCGTCCATCCTTGGAACCTAGTGAGGGAGTGGTGCCAGGGTACACATCATCAGTCAATTCAATTGAGATAATCCCACAGTCATGGCCAGAGGTCCATCCACATGCATGCCTACATTCTGCCAGGCTGGCGATCACAAATTTGTACAATTACTATGTGTTAATAATAATTTTAATGTTTAAAATTAAAAGAAGGAATAAGCTCACGAGTGTGAAAAATAAATCAATACATGTGAACCATCACAACACAGCCTATCTGTGGAGAACCTGAAAGATTTTTAAGTTTAGCAGAGGAATACAATGACTCCTGGGTGCCTTCACCCAGCCTCCTGTCCCAAAATGCTGGACAAAATGTATTTAGTCCCTTCCATTTTCATTAGGCTGAAAAGGAGGTCAGATATTTGAGAACTTTCTCTGAGACTATGGAAGCAAAGCTTTATGCCATTATTCCTTGTTATTGAGCAAAGAATTCGCGTAGAAAAATGAACGTAGGAAAATCGAGCACAGACAACTGAGACGTATTTGCATCATGTAATTGAGGCAAATTTTAAGTGAATAAAATGAAGACTTTAAGAGAGGGTGG